CCTTCCGCCCTTGCAGCGCCCCAGTGACCCTGCCTCGTGAGGGGGGGGGTCTGTGGTTTGCAAGGCTCCTCTCTTCAGCTGAAAGCGCCCAGCGAGAGCTCCAGGAACTGGGAGAGGGGAGCATTCGCGCACCCCAGGAAGGCGTCCCTGCTGCCCTGGGAGACGCCGGCCTTCCCCTGGCCAGGGACTCGGCCCTTTCCTTCACTGGGACTGTCGCGGTGGGCTTTGTGCTTTCGAGTCAGTCCTGACGGACTCTTGGCAGCTGCCCGGATTAGTCCCTCGGTAAGATTTTGGGAGGGGCCTTGCCACTGCCTCCTTCCTGGGGCTGAGAGAGTGTGTCTGGCCCAAGATCACCCAGCTAGCTTTGTGCCTCAGGTGGGACTAGAACTCCCGGTTCCTAGCCTGAATTTCCAGGCGGACCCACCTTCCCCTTTTCCTTCGTCAAGAACTGAATGTAGTCGCTCCCCTGCGGCACCGTCTCCTAGCTGAGCTGCCCAGAGCCTCCGGAGGAATCCCGCTGCTGGCACCCCGGGCACGAGCGCCTGCGAGCCACCAGGGCCTCTCTCGAGCGCATCCCTTCTCTGCTGCTCGGCCTGCGCAGGGCCCAGCCAGGGCCGTCCTCGTGGGCGATCAGAGTCTCCGTCCTCCGGTATGGGACAGGCCCCGGCAGAGCCAACGTCCCTCGCTCCCGCTGCGAGGCTGTTGTTTCTCCCACTTTCCGCAGGGAGTGCAGAATCCTCCAGCCCTCCGTCTCTGGAAGGCGGGTCGACTTTCCTCCCTGCTTATCCCGGGAGCTCGGCCTGCTTATCCCGGTCCAAAGAGGGCTTCTTCCCTGAGGCCTCATTCCTACCCCCCTTTTGGCAGAATGCATCCCACCCCGTGAAGAGGCCTTGGGCCTTCTCCTCGGCTACGGGGCCAGCCCCACAGCAGCCGTCTCAGTAGTGGGGCTGGAAGAGGGCGGGGCAAAGAGGTGGAGAGCCGAGCCTCCCTAGGCGTGCCCAAAGGCCACCCACCCAACACCAGTCTCCAAGTGCGGACCGAGGCCATCGACTCCGGCTGGAAGCAAAGCTACCCCTGTCTCACAAGGAGACCCGCGTCAGCTGCTTTCCTGAAGGGAATGCAGCCCCAGGTGAACCTGTCTGAGGCAGCTGCCACAGCGGAGCCCTTCAAGGGGGCCTCCCTGCCCGATAACTGCCCTGCTGCGAGAGATCCCACCGGCTTTGGGGCCCTCCCTTCCCTTCGAGAAGCTGACCCGGCTCAGCTAGAGGGAGGACGGGGCAGGAAGGGCTCCCGGTGGCTCAGCCTGAAGAGCAGCCCTGAAGGAAGACCAAGCACCCACCAGGCCTCGGAGTCAGGCCGCTCATCCGCTGCCCATTCCTGCAGAGGCAGCTGCTAGCTAAAGCCAGCCGACCGACCAGAGAGTGGCCGGACAGAGACGCTTCGGGATTAGGAGCAGGGCCAGAGGACCAGGCAGCCCCACAGCAGCTGCCCAGCACGGAGATCAAGATCAAAGAGCAGCTGCTGTCATGGAAGAGGGAACCAGACGCCTTGGCAGGGGGAGGAATGTCCGCCTCCTCCTCCTCCTCCGTCGGGGATTCTTCCCTTTCTCAGGGAGCTTCCACTAGCCCACCCACCCCCAGCTCACCCACCCTCCCTCCCTCCTTCCCCTCCCTCGCACTGCCTGCCCCGGGGAGCTCTTTTTCTCAGAAGACGCTCAAGGAAGGAATTGGTGGCTCTGACAGTACAGTCAGGACTCGCACAAAGCCCTCCCCGCAAAGCAAAGGGGCCGAATGTCTTCCACCCTCCTCCGTTCGTTTTTTCCTCCGCTCTGAGAAATCCTCCCGCTTCTTCTTCAGCAAATGGAAAGGGAGGCCCTGCCAAGTCCAGAGGAGAACCGGAAGCCACAGCAGAGCCACAACCGGCGGCATCTCCCTGGCGAGAGGCGAGAGCGGGGCCCCCGTCCCCTCCGCAGGAGAGGAACACCCCAACAGGTGCGCACCTGGCCTTGGCTCCCAGCCGACTCGCACCTTGCCAAGGTGACTCAGGTGCACAGGGAAAACAAAAGCAGCCTTCCAGCGCAGGGGAACCACCTTCTCCTCCGGGCGGGAAAGCAGCAATTGGGAGCAATTTGCCATCTGAAAACAATCCCAGGAGCAAAGGTGTTGCCAGGCTCTCCTCCAGGAACCGCCCTGCCGCTTATTTTGGTTTCGCTTAGCTGGGACCGTCCCCCTCTTTCTGCTGCCGGGCTGGGACCCCAGGAGGAAGGGGCTGCTTTTGTGCCGAGGCCGGGACTCTCCGGGAGGCCAGAACAAGCCCCGGGCAGACCCCTGCTTCAAGGCCAAGTAGCCATCCCAACAAACACCGAGGCCTTGGTGCTCCCCTCTTCCCCGTCTGGCTTCCCCAACCCCTACAGCAGCGGAGTGGCCTGTCGGGGCAAGGAGCTGCCACCAACGGGGAAAGTCGAGAAACGGCCAGGGCAGCCCCAAGAGCAGAAGCAGCCTCCCCCAACCCGAGGAGCCCCGTATCCCCAGAGGGCCTTCCCTTGCAGAAGTCCTGCGCAACGCACGGCCTCTCCTTCCCCCAACCCAAATGCTCCAAAATCAGGTGGCTCTTCTTTTAAAAAAATAAAGAGGGAAAGCAACTGCTTCTCCAGCACACACACACACACACACACACACACACACACACACACACCGTCCCATGGCCAAGAAAGGCCACCCCGGCAGCCTCCCCCCCCCCTAGGAAACAGGGATGTTGGGACATCCGAGGCCGGAAGGGAGTCAAAGGCCAGGGCTGGGCTTTCCATTCCCCCCCCCTCCCAGGCTCAGGCCCAGCCCTTGGGACATCCCCACATCAGGCAGGGATGAGATCAGGCAGGGATGGCCAGGGCAGTGCTGGCCTCAACTTCCTCCGGCATCAGCTGCCCTTTCTGCTCCACGTCCAGCTTGCTTCCCCCCCCTTGCAGGAAACCCAGCCGGGCCTCCTCCTCCTCCATCTCCCAGCTCCCCCCAGCCCCTTCTCAGCTGCCCCTCCTCTCCTCTCCTCTCCTCCCCAGAGACGCTGGCCGGCCTCTCTGCCTCTGGCCAAAGGAGGGGGGAACCGCAGCAGCCGTCCTGGGGCGCTGGGCACTGGGGTCTGCCTTCAGGAGACCCTTTAGGTGGGCCCCAGGCCCCCCCCGGCTCTGACGGTCATAGACACCCCAAAGGCCGCGGAAGGAGCGACCCCAGAGGCCCCCAGAGGCCCCGGGCCGCCCGGGCAAAACCACCAGCAGAGCCAGACGAATCGCGCCGCCTTCGGGGTGGCCCCAGCCTGAAAGTCGGGCGCTTCTCCAGCGTCCAGGCGGCCCCTCCGGCCTGGCAGCCCCCCGCAGCCCCCCCGGCCCGGCTCCCCTCGGGTGACCCCGGCTGCTCCGCCGGAAGGCCCCCCCCAAGGCGCCCCCCCCTCTTCTCCGGAGGGGGACATCCTCTCGCAAGGAACCCCCC